GATAGATCACCATATAAATTTTTATTGACATGACCATCTTAAGTGAGACTTCAATGATTTGGATGGCCATAGTTATAACTTGATGATTCATGGTGGATTAAAGCTCTTGTGATCATTTAAAATCCATATTAGGTTCCTAGTTCCTTCTTTACCTAAGGCAACTCACATAGAGAACAAATGATAAAATTCATGAAATTTGCAAATTATGAACTAGGAATTACCACTCTTCGTTGACAAGGTCTTGAATGATCAATAGGATGTATCCATATGCACTTAATGAGATCTAGAGTGGAGAGTAACAATGTAGGTCCACTCTTCAATTCTTTTATCCAACCCATTAAAATCTAGTTCCACCAAAGGATTGAGGCATTCAACATTAAACTGAGAGCACTTGGTTTATAAAGATCGAGACTTCCTAGGATAATATTTGGAGCACCCAGAGAATCCAAAGGAACCATCCATCCTCCTTTTCCATGTGTGAGACTGCTCAACATAAACTTGAAAGAAACCTTAGTCTCATAAGATATAAGCTAAACTCTCCCTCAATTTGTGCATACAAGAGTACACAAAGTATACTTGTACATATTAACAACATGAGGTCAAAAGGGAAGTTTTCATTAGATTCCAACTGATTTCAAACTCCTTCAAGCTGCTTGTTGTCTAATTAGTTTCAGCGGTTTAGTTGCTTCCAATTGATTTCAAAAAGTTCTAACTGATTGTAACTTATTTCTGCTACTTGTAACTACTGAAGTCAACTGGTTTCATATAGTTTGAATTGATTTCAGTTGCTATTTCTAAAATCCTGCAACTGATTTTTCTAGTTCCAACTGGTGGCAACTACTTGCTGCTGCTTGTATATTGATTGCAACTCTTTTAGACCAAACTGATGCTTCTTATATTGACTGATTCTTCATGACCAACTTGAGAGACAACTTAATCTTGTTGTTTCAATGTAATCTAATTCCATACAGTGAGTTTTTAGATTCTGTCTTCCTTGGAGAAAAATCCATATCTTTTAGACTACTAGTCCAATATGCATGAAATTTAATAGAGATGTGCATCTATGAGTCCTTTAACTACTGTAAAAATTTCAGATTATTTGGACTCTATTTGATCAGTCAAATTAATTTTCTATCAAAACTGCTAAGGTCTGAAACTGCAATGCTAAAGCTGACAGAATTCAACTCAAAACTGATGTTCTTCTAAACCAATCTTCATGATAATTGTTCAGGAACAAATAATATATGTGTATATCATGCTCACAAAGTTTCAGACCAATTCATCAGTATTTGAATTTCCAAATCCATGCTTGAAGGCAGCCACCTCAAGTTTTCAATTTTCTAGACAGATTTGATAATTCCCTATTCTTCTCTTCTTCTTGTCCAATCTTGAGGTGAATTTGGTTGAGAATACTCATAAGACTTTATTTTCATTCAGTTCTCTTACTGATACTTGTAGTCTTATGAATTCTTCCAATATAACTTATCTAACTCAACCTCAAACTTGATTTTATCCAAACTGAGAATTTGGTCTCTTTGGCCTCTAGCAATCTCATCTTACTTTAGGTGAAGAGTAACCATGGGCTTGTGATTTATTCAGTTAAACAAGCACAACCTCTTCTTCTTGATTTTCTGTAAATAAGCTAAACACAAGAGGGCATTAGTAACACAAGCACTAGTTTCTCATTTAGTAACCCTTTATGTGTGGATGGCAAGTGGGTTACCAAAATAGAGAAACCTCATAACATGGATTAAATCTCCCTTGATTCCTTATGCACACTCTTTTGAGTGGAATGGAAATATGAATATGAATGATTGGTCAATTAAGTCCAAAGGGTAGATTTAAGCCATATTATGGTGAGTGGCTAACATAGATGAATCAATTCCAAATTAACTAGAGAGAATACATCACATGGTTTTGGATTGATGGCTTTCATATCATAGCACACTTCATTTGAGAAACACATTCTCATTTAGTGAGACTGCATAGATCACTTAGATAGAAGGTTAGTCTCACAACTCTAGTCATAGAGTAAATTCTCTTTTGATAAGTGCTCTAAGTATTTGAATTTCTCGCGTAGCACTTTATTCACTTAAGAACTTGAAATTCCACTCTATGTCTAGGTCATGGCAACAATACATTTATCAAATTGAATTATGCCAAAAAATACTTACAACCATTATAGCATGTAGATGCCCAAAAGATAAGAATGAGAATTTGGCAATCTACCATAAGACAAGATTCCATCAAGTAGAGAGTTCTTGAAATATGAGTGATAAGTGCCTCTACTTGAGCTTGATTCTTTATTCTTGGCTTTCTTGAAATTCTTGGTTTGAAGTCCACAAAGAAAACTCAAGTCATGTATGTTGCTTGTTGTGGATGATCAACTTAATTCCAACCATACTTCTCTTCCATGACCAACAACCAATGCACATCCTCAAGTGCTTCATTTGTCTAAGTGGCTACACAAGACACAGAGGAGTTTAGTTTGAAATAAATTGCATTTGAGAATTAGTTGTTACCACCCCTTTTCATTATAATGGATGAGGTAATCTCTTCATCTTCATCTTGCTTAAAAATAGGTTGTAGGTTTCGTCCACGACTTGAACTGCTAGCAACTGCTACTGTCTGCATCGGTGCGGCAGTGCTGCTCATCAGCACGGTTGCTTGTGTGAGCGGCACTGTTGCTCGTACTTCAGCAGCAGGTTGTAGATCAGCTGCGACATGAGGAGCCTCCACTTCTACAGCCTGTACTTCTTATGGTCTTATATCACCGATGGCTATTTGCTTGATTGCCTCATAAGGTGGTTCCTCATATCTACAACATGAATAAGATCTTGCTCTACTAGAGATCCATTAAAAGCATCATATGGTAATTGATTCATTTAAACTTCAAGAGCTCTAGCCACTCCTAATAATTCACAAATACACACATTTATGAACCACTAGAGACTACACAAGTTAAGTGGTTAGCTAGTAAGGGTTAGGTACTAGTTACCAAGGTGAGTATGAAGTTACAAATATATCCATCAATTTATCCTTGGGTCAATCTTGAGAGAGTAGACAATATAAATAAGATTGATAGCTTGAGATGATATTTTCAATTAACTTGCTCAAACACCCCAAAGCTTCATACCACCTTCAAGTACCTACAACACTCATCAAGCACAACTTGGTACCCAAACTATATTGGGTCCATCAAGGTTAGTCACAAGAGACTTAGCCATCTAAATGGCCTTTATGCTAGCACGTGGTGAACCAATCACTTTTCTAGCACAAGTGTTATTTTTGGTCTTCTAAGCAACAAATTTGAACTAATTGAGGAGTTGAGCTTAGAAGTGTTAGCCATGGGACAATCCATACTTAGATGTCTCTTTCCTCGGCAAGTGTAGCAAATGCGACGTTTGTTATTGCAAGAAATCTTCTTATCTTGCTTCTTGTTTGCTTCCTTGTCGATGAGCCTCTTTCTCGATGATGCCAAGCCTTCATCCTTCATGTAGGGGCATGATACAATTTCATGACCCTCTCATTGCATCAGGATGGTACTCACTCTTTTAGCAGCTATCTTCCCGAAAGGAAACTAGTAACGTGTCTATGTTGCTAAAGGCACTCTTATAATCCGGCTTGGCGCTTTTCTGTCTTATAAAAATTAGGGGTTAATAACATTTGGAACAGACAGTGTGATGGTCCTCACGTGAATGCTGACGGCGTAGCTAAAGGGCTGTTTTTATGCAAAGTCGTTTGTATCTTACAGTATTTCTTATTATTCAGTACTCTCGGTACGAGGCAACACGTCGGATGATCATGATAAATGTTGACTTCATCCCCTTGAGATCGGGAGGCCAAGACTACTTGAGATTTAAGTTAGTATTGTTGATATTAGCAGCCCCAGAGCCTCCAAGTGACCAAGTACAGATCATTTTCCCAGTACAAGCAAGACGCTGACTTCGCTACCGTTTGCATAATGAATCCATCATCAATCTGAACTCCTGTATGTACTGTATTATTTTTTCCTGCCCCAACAAACGAATTCTAACTGTTGTACTCTTAAGACTTTCTAGCACCGGCCACAAGAAACTCGTTCCAACAAATACCTCTCGGTGTTACAATTTTCTCATAAATTTAAAAGCTTTGTCTAACATGGGCATTGCCGGATTCACTTTCAAACATCCATATATCTAACAATCTCTAAGTTAGAATACACACCATTCGACTTCCTATCACGACTCCCGGTTTGCCAACAGGCTGACAGTACCCTTCTCAGCTTCAGGAACCTCCTTGTGGTCATAGGTGACGCCTATGGTAGCCCTTTCGCCGTCGTCGTTCGCCGAGCCGAAAACCTTGGGCACACCATCGCCGCCGTCTTCCAGCTCCAGACAGGAGCTCTCGTGCTCGTGCTCCATCTGCTGGAGCTCCGACTCGATGAGAGACTGCATGCGCGCGCGCTCCCTGTCCCTGGGGTAGCTGCAGTACAGGAACGAGTATATGCGGTGCAGACTACGAACGGTATCGCTATGGACGTGTACAGCGCCTTGGCTAGGGACGCGGCGTTCCCCCGGTCCTGTTCGACGCTCTCCCCCTTGTCGTTTGGCCTGTACCCGTACACTCGCTCAGCCAGCAGGCCGACGATCGGAGGAGCAAACGATGATAGCACTGACTCGAAGGATCTGTGTCCAGGGCGTAGACGCTTGTTCTTGACTTCTCCGGGACGATCAGAGGAAGGCCCCAACGGCGATGACGTGGGCGTGGTTGTGACGCGCGGCGGCGTAGGTGGCAAGCGGGTAGCAGGCGGCAGCCTGGTCGTTTGGCTGTGGCTTATCGTAAACGATCGTAAATTTCCAGCCGGAATAGTATTTTTCTCTTATACAAACTAGCCAGCAGTACTTCTTCACGAACCAGCAACGAAACGAACCAGCCAACCGAACAGGCTGCTGGACGATAGAGCGGCACAACGAGAGGGCGCCGAGCCCTGCGGGGCTGGCGTGCAGCGCGGCGCCCACCTCCCGGTACACCGCGGGGAGCAGGGTCTCGTCGGCGCGCTCCATGATGGACGCCAGGTTCACCAGCAGCAGCGTCCGCCGCCGGTCCCGCTCCTGCTGCTGATCCATCTTGCCAAGCTGGCTCTCCCAGCTCCGGTCTCCCTCGATGGAATCAGAGAGGGCGTGACGCGTGAGCTCAGCTGAGCTTGCTGGCCATTCAAGTCCCTGTTCCTCACCCCTCCCCTCCGGCAACAGGTGACCAGTATTGGCATCTAAACCCAAAATGGATAACAGGAAATCTAAAATCAGTCTTCAACAGAGTACCTATACGGAAGATCTATTTTGGGTTGTCTGAGAGGCACAGCACAAATATGAGTATCCTCTCTCTAAAAACCCATTTGTAGAAATGATTCTCTTTTGGATCCTGTTGTTGGAGAGGACGTCGAATGGGTATTGAACTCTTTGACTGTAACGTTACCCAAATGTTGAATGGATCTCATATTTTGGGTGTTGCTGTTGGAGATAGTATTAGTCTCGTCTGCTCGCCTCTTAGCGGGAGGGGTGTCATTTCGCTCTTTTGGCCACGTAACTGTCCACGTAGAGCCCTTTTATATATATATATATATATAACACTGTTTATAATGGAATATAAAAAGAAACATTGAAACATTTGCGTTGTGTCTCGCTCTCTACTTCCAACACATTATTAGCACTTCGACCACAAGAAATGACGGTTGGCTGCAAGAACTCGCCAGAGATGTTTGCACTGATGTCCTAATCGGCCACTACACAAGAAAATGTCGATGCAAGCGATGCAACCCGTGCTCTGCTGCAAAGATGCCGGCGTCAACTCCTTCATCTTTCCTCTGCAAGTCTGCCACAAACATGAGAGACAAATCTGTGGCACTACGACCTGCATACCCGAACAAGAACAAGAACCTGAAAGAAGAAAAATGTGGATGCTTGCATTATTTGCTGAAGAAAAGCACAAGCAAGAACATCAAACACACAAAAACTATAAGCACATATGTGAATTTCTTCAATTCGTTGTGTTCTTACCTCTTTACAGCAATGGACACCATGGAGACGTGGTGCCCGGACGGCTATATCTGGCCTGGCCTGGGTGACGGTTGCGCGCCCATATTTGTGTGTGGTGCGTGTATACAGTGTACTGGTCCGAGGTGGCAACAGTGCTAGCCACCTAGAACCGAAGGCAGCCAAGGCCACAACCAAAGCCAGTTAAGGCAGTGCCCAGACGCCTATGTTAAGATCTCTAGATCGCTAGATGGGGAATTCGATAGTCCAACTATTTTTTTCTTTAAGTCTAGACTTGTTGTAAATACTCCAAAGGCTTAAGAAGTCCTAAATTCAGTGCAAATCGCCAAATGATTCACTATAATCATCCATGCTTTCTGATGTGGTTCTTAAGGCAGTGTTTGGTGTGCCTCTTACTGCATCTGCTCCACTAGCAATGCCAGAGTTGAAGGTCGAAGCTCCATACACCCAAAAACATCTTTGGATGCTATAGGACAAGTTTGGCGGGGCTCCTTTTCCTGATTATTGAGCTTTACTTCTGGCTTCTCTGATGGAGTGATTCTGATGGGGAATGAGGTGGGGAGTAGGTGGGAATTGATTTTGAAGTGATTCTAGTGTTAATTGAATGGGGAGCAGCAGGCAGTGGGTTTCTAGGTCCTATTTGGCAGAGCTCCCAAAACTGAATCTCTATTGAATCCAACAAGAGCTCTTATAAACAATTTTCTAGAGAGAAGTAATTCTCTACTAATTCCATGAAGTAATTCTTTGAAATGAACTAAGAGACAGAGCTAAAAAAGTAGCTTCTTTTGATTATGTGAAGTGATTCTCCATTGTGATTTTGAGAGTTTATGCTAAAGAATCAAAGAGAATCACTTTCGGCTACAAAATCACTTTTTTTTAGAGAATCCGCTTCCATAGAGAAACTTACCCTCAGCTTGTAGTATAAATGGAGAAGTGATTCTCGTCAACTCCCCACCAGAATCCAGTTGCATTTTAATCGTTTGGTAGGGATTTGTAGAATTAGCTTCGAAGAAACTAGGAGCAAAGCTTTGCTAAAGTGGCCCTTATTCGACGCCCAAAACGGCTTCTCCTATGGATGCTCAGTACGACTGTGTCCATTCGAGTGTGAAAGTTGTCGCTAGAGTAGGAATCAGAGCCAGAGCTAGAGCAACACCAAATAAAGGGTTGTTGGAGATTGTTCCACAAACTCTGCTTTACAAACTCTATAGTAGAGCAGCTACACAAAAATTGGTATTTTTGAGCACCACTTTAGTTGCTCTCACAATTCCATCTTTCTCCTAGAGCAGAATTTTTTTTTGATAAATCCTAGAGCAAAGTTTGTAGCTATGCTGAAAAAACATAGAGCAGAGAAGTCCCGAGCAGACCTTAAGCCCTAAGTTATCCAGCTTGAAGCCCTAAGGCCCAAGACAAAGAGCCCAATCGAGCCCAGCAGCAAGGCCTTCGTTCCCCTTCCTGTCTTCCTGTTCCTCGCTTCCGTTACCTTACCTCTCGCCATTTTCCCCATTTTCCTCGCACTCGCACACATCGACGTGGTCTCCGCGCCGCCGCACCCCATCACAGCCCACCCGCACCTACGATCCTTCGTCCAAACCCTATTACCACCGCGCCACCCCCCCCCGCCTCCGACTCGCCCCCTGATGGCAGGACAACCCCGCGAGCGCGGGAGTCGCTCGTCCCGGAAGGGCCGCTCCGCCCGCGCGGGGCCCGCACCGGCGCCCCCGCCGGCCTCTGATCCCGATCCGTCCGCCGGAGAGGATGCGGCTCCGTGGCTCCGCGCCACGGCGGACGAGCTTGAGGAGCGCCTGCTCAAGAGGCTGGATGAGGCGTACGCGGCGGCCCTGGCCCGCCTCGCCGACCTCGGCCACGGAGAGGAGGCATCCCTCGAGGCCGTTCTCCACTCAGGCCACTGCTACGGCAAGCTCAACGACCCCGTTTCCAACATCGTCGCCAACGCCCGCGCCTACCTCTCCGACCCTAGTCACGCCGGCGCATCCGGTGGCTTCGCCGACCCCCGACGCCTCGAGGAGTACTCCCTGGCGGGGCTTGTCTGCCTCCTCCAGAGCAGCCGCCCTACCCTCACCCGCGCCGAGGCCTTGTGGTGCCTTCTCTCCAGTGACCTCCGTCTCGAAGAGGCGATCGCCATAGGCAGCTCTCTCAATGGTGAACCCTCATCTACTGCTGTTCCTGCTGAGAGTGAGGAGCTCCCCCCAGCCGTGGCGGAGACTGCACAGCGTGGATGCATCCACTACCATAACACCACAGCCGCAGTGGCTCAGGACCCCACTCTTTTTGACCCAGAAGCCTTCATGAGACTCGCGATACGCCAGGGTCCTGCTGCAGCCACCATCTCCTGCCTGAAGGCCGCCGGGTGGTCACGGTCCAGCGGCGCCGCACCAGAGGGGCAGCCCAAGGAATCGTTTGCCAAGAAGCTCTCCACTGAGGAGCTCATCGAGTCTGTTGTTGCGGAGCTTGAGGCACTGGACATTGACAAGAAGGATCCACCAGATGCGAATCCTGACCCAAAGAACCAGATGGCGCGTGACCTCATTAAGCAGACAAGAGAGATGGAGGCGCAACTCAAGGAGCGAAGGGAATGGGCGCAGGGAAAGGCGATACAGGCTGCTCGCAAGCTTGGTGCTGATCTTACTGAGCTGCGTGTGCTGCGGATGGAACATGATGAGAACCAGCGGCGTAAGAAGGAAAAACAGGTGATGGAGGATGACACAATGAAGCGCCTTGCTCATCTAGAGAATGAGCTGAAGAAAAAGAGTGGGCAGCTTGACCGGAGTAACGCAACTGTGCAGAGGCTGGAAATGGAGAATGCAGAGATACGTGCTGAGATGGAAGCTGCGAAACTGAGTGCATCAGAGACTGAAAAACAATGCCAGGGTCTCTTAAGGAAAGAGAAGAAGGATAGCAAAAGGCTTGAAGTCTGGGAGCGCCATAAAGCGAAGCTGAAAGAGGACATAACTGAATGCAAGACAAAGATTACACAAGCTGAAAGGGAGCTTGCTGAGGTCAACAAGGCAATAAAAAATATGGAGGTTAGGAAGAACTTGAACATTCATCAGTCCGATTATTTTATATTATAATTCCATATTCTGTTTTGTTATGTATTAGGTGGTAAGAGTCATATGTCAGAAGCTTTCTACTAGCAGAGATTGAATATCTACGATTTAGCATAGCTGTACGAGACTACTGTTGTGGTGTGTTTTGTATATTCATTCATAGGACTAGCACATCCAGCCAGGTCAACCTAGTGTTAGTGTGAGTGTGACCCTGAGCTACCGCCTGGCTAGTTTCTTGCTTACTGTATTAGGTTTGGAGAGGTTTGTTAAGTACTTAGGTGTGTTATTTTGTTTTGATTATTATCAATATTATTAATTTCCTTGTTCCCTATCTTCAAAAGGAATAATTCAGGCAATGACTCCTAGTTCAGTGGCAATTTAGTATCACATTTGTGAATTTATTTGTCAGTGACACGGGACTCCTCAACCGCATGCCATATCCTAAATTGCCACTGGATGCCATATCCTAAATCATCCCCTTTAAAAGGAGGGGTCGTCAGTGTGAGAAGGAATTATCAGGAACTCACTCTCTTTCGAGCCCTCCTAGGCACAGCCGACTATCTGTGTGACAGCTCTATGTTGTTGGGGGTGGGCCAGGACCCCAAAACCTCCTACCTCACTCATATCCCATCCACCCTTAAACCCTAGGCCATATCTTATTTGGAATTACAGATCGGTCATTATAAGAGACAGCTAACCCATTGAATTATTAGGTGATCCTGAATAGATTATAGGGTCCTCTTATAGGAGATTAAGGGTGTTTAATGAAGAATTGGTGGTGAAAATAGATTTATCAGGAAACCAGGGACTAAAGGTCTCTTCATCTGATTGCTTATATTCATATGTTAATGAAACTTGGAAGCCAATAAATAATTAAACATACAATCAGGGATCCAAACAATTGTGTCTTGGCGATGATGGCATAGAACTACTCCATGCTGCATCTTGGTTTGTTTTAGAGGGCTCCAGCTCCACAACCTTTAATAAGTGCCTGCACTTTTGAAC